CTTTATTTCCTGCCTGCCTTCCTTTTTGCTTACATGCAAATATAATCCCCAAATGAGAAAATAATGAAAATAGGTCAGAAAGTGACATTGTATGCTATACTGTTTCTGTTGTTTTAAATATCCCTAGGTTCTGCTCTATTTTTCTCCAACTTCTCTCTTCTTCAGAATAAAAAATTTTCCATTAATCTGTATTCAAATTTATTGACTTTTTTTGCTATCCCCATCCTGTGGTTACGTTTATTCAATGAATTTTTTAAAAATTTTAAATATTGTCTTTTTTGATTGAAGAAGTTTAAATAGGTATTTTTTTCATAATATTCATTTCTTTCCTGAGATGATATCAGGATAGTTTCTACTGACTGCTTTATTTATTTGTTGTTTTACTATGGGCTACATATTTCTGTTTCTTTGCATTGCTAGTAATTTTTAATTATAGCTGGATATTTTGCATGGTATGTTGTAGACTCTAATTTTTAAAAAAAATTCTTTCAAGAATTTTTATGTTGAATTACAAAGCAGTTCAGTTACTGACTGGTGTCCTGAAACTTTTGTTGACTTAGTTTTATCCTTTGTTAGTGGGAAACCTGTGGAAAGACTAAAAAATGTCCCTAAAGTATTTCCAAAATTCCCTTATCTTGATGGGATTCAGCCTCCAAATCGTCTCCCTTATGGATCTTGTCCATTTTGTTATTACATTTTGTTAAGATGGTTTTAGACTCTAGAGCAGTCTTCAAACTATGTTCCTTACTCCTAAGGCATGCACTTGCTGATGTTACTGCTTGATGATCAATATATTAGCAAAATATTGACAAGATCACTGTATTGAAGCTATGACGGAACTCCAATATCTCAACATTGCTAGACTCATAGAATCGCCATTACTTTTTCAATCCCATAGCAACTGCTCTCTGGTAGCCTCAGGGTATCTTGTATATCCCAGCTTTCAACCGAGGACTCATAATGACCTTTACACAGGCTTTTCACCATCCCCTTGTGCAGTTCCATCTTCTCACTACTGTGTCCAGTGTATGCCTCTATTCTGATACTTGCATCCTCCATTCAGCATAACTAACATGCTTTGTTTGGATTTTAGCTTTTGTACCAGGTTCGGAAATTTGTCCCCAGGCAGAAAACTGGATGGATCGTGGGCTTGCATCTAGAGTTTACTTTCTTTCATTTTTGGGGGGGTTTTCTGGTTGTTTTTCATGTAGAGTAAGTCTAGTATAAGTTACTCCATTATAGGTAATAGCAGAAGTCTTGACTATTTTGTGATTTTAGTGTTATTCCATTCTACATATTCTGAAATTCTGAATTCAATTTTATCTTTATCCCATGAAATTAAGAGAGGATTTTCTTTTTCCATTGATGGTGGCCTTTTTTTTGTTGGGGGTGGGGACTGAAAGTTAAACTTTTTATCATGTGGTGATCAGAAAATGTCTTTGCCATTTCTACTTTTAGAATTTATTAATTTTCATTTTTTGTGGCCTACTATTTGCACATTTTCTGACAGTTTCATGAGCATTTGAAAAGCAGGCTTATTTGTGTTTACAGGATAAAGCATTAATCACACAGCAATAATAACTACCTAATTATTTAGGTCTTCTTTAATTACCTTTTTTAATCCACTTGAACAGCTTAAAGCAAAATACAGTCACCTGTTTTTAATTTTTTTCTATTTCACTTTCTATCTTCTATAGTTTTTGAATTATGAACACTAATGAATGTTATTTGGCACATGACTATTAATCTTCACTGTAAATTGCACAGTTTAGCACTGTAAACTGTTGCCTACAGTTCACTTAAGTGTTCTTTTTAAATTGTATTCAAGTATTTGAAGGATTAGAATAAAAAAATAAAAACTACCCCTTGCTTTCTTTTTATTTGCCTGAAATACCTTTGCTCATTTATTTTAGTCCATATGTTTCCTTTTAAGTTATTTTTTACCTTTAATTTTTATGTGTATATGCATCCTATTTCTGATAAATAGGAGATTTGAATTTTTGTTGTAGTGATTAACTAGCTAATTGTTACTTGAAAACATACTATCATTAGGTTCTTCTTTAATTCATTGTTTCCTAATAGGAGTCCTACTGGCTTTTATGGAAAGAAACATATATCATTGTGCAAGAATGTCACATGCATTGCAAGATATTTAGCACTCTTTTCCCTCACCAGTAAATGTCAATAATAAACCCTAGTTATTATGATTATCAAAAACATCCCTGTATATAATCAATTTTCTCTAAGGGAACAGTATTCCTCTTGGTTAAGAAATATTCTCTTAGAAAACGTGTTAGCAATTTCTTCCTTTACTCCCATCATCTATTTTGCTAGTTTAAACACATATTTGTTATTTTTTTACTCTCAACTATATTTATGACTCTTTTATTGTTTTATCAGCTGTTGGATCCTGACATTAAAAGTGAGGAAGTCATACTATGTTCCATGTTCTTTGCTCATCACTTTTGTTAATTATATTATTTCTACACTATCAAGGTTAAGAACATTATGTTGTGTTCTGGAACCAAAACCCTTATTACAATTGTTTTAATCTTAGTATCATAAATATTAATATATTCTATTCAATGCCCATGCCTGTCTTTTTGCCCTAATTTTTCAAGTTATCTCTTGGGTATAACATTCAAAAAGTACTCAAGAAAATATTATTTCCCAGAGTAGTTTACCTTTATATTTGAAAGACAGTTTGCTGGATAGAAACTGTCTGGGTTATATTTTTTAGAAATTCTGCAGGTGTTTCTTCACTCTGCCCCACTGTTGCTATGGAAGTGTGAGGTTTTGTTTTGTTTTTCTTTGCTTTTAGCTTCTCTGTTAAGAGGCTTATCTTTGAATTTGCATAGCATCGATTTTATCTATTTTAAGATGGACTTTTCTAGGTTATTGTTTTTCCTGGACAAGGTGTACTCTTTAATTTGTAGATGTGTGTTTTATTTCTCTTGAATTATTTATTTGTTCAGCTTCATATATTATTTTCTGTTAGCATGACTTTATTGATGAACATATTTAGTCCTTAAGTGTCATATTTATTATTTGTTCTAATCTTTTTAATCTATTCATTTACACTTCATTGGTTTGCTTTCCTCGTTTCTGTTCTCTGTGTCAAGGTTGGCGACATTGTCTGTAAAGGGTCAGTGGGTAAACGTAGGTTTTGTAGACACATGTGGTCTCTGCATACATTCCTGTTTGTTTTTTATTCGTTTTTGTGAATGAGTTGAAGCCATTCATTGCTCGAGGGCCCCACAGCAGCTGGGCGGGCGGATTTGCTCCCCGGGCTGTGCTTGCTGAGCCTTGCTCTGCATTTTTAGCAGGGACTCTGTTTTGCATTCACCAGTTTCATTTTCCTCTATGGGATAAATTTAGTTTCTTTTTAAAACTTCTTTAATGAGTGCTGCCAACTTACACTGCATATCCTTTTGTTTTCTTTCCATTTCTTTCCTGAACGTTTTTTTTTTTTTTTAAATCTTTGTTCTGTGCTCTTGCAAGATAGAGGTGAGTAATTCACTCTGCTTTTAAACTTCAGAGTTTATTTTTCATAATTGTTATCTGTTCTGTGGAACATTTTTTTGGTGAGATTTTTCAACTGCCCAGTTCCTCCCCACCGCCTTTCTTGTTCTTGTAGAACATCCGTGTAGATTATTTTCTAGGTCGTCTATGCTTGCCCATATTTGAGGAAGGCCCACATTTGCAGGGCCTCTTCCCAGGGTACAACACACAGGAGAGGAAAGAGAATCGTATTTCAGTCTAGCAGGGATTGTCCTTATTACCTCATTATCGTTTGTTTGTTTGTGTATGTGAGTTTGTAGTCTTTATTTCCTCCAAGCTAGTAGAAATAGACACCTATGATACTGATACTAAGAGTCTCTCTTCTCACCTGCTAAGGAGACTTTCTCTGTGCCTCCTTATTTAGATTTCCTCCTTTGCTTACTGGAATCAAATTAAGCCCAGGACAGTTCTTGCTGGCAGCCTGTGCTTCCATTCAAGCTGGGCAGACGTGAGTTTAGGTGTTTGACCCTTGTCACCGAGACGCGCCCTCTGCAAACGTCTCTGCAGCTCTGTAGCTCAGGGCCTGCCTCCACGCCTTCCCTCTGTCTTCGCCCCTGGCTGCTCCTCAGCACATTTTCTGGTGTTCAGGTTTTGCTCCTTCTTTGAAGGCAAAGATTGCGATTTTGCTTCTTGATCTCCTCATCACTTTTAAGAAATTCCCAGATAATAAAAAATAAAAACTGTTTTATGCTCCTATCTTGTGTCTGGAATACTCCTTAACCATTTTAACAGAACTCATTTCACTACTGTCTACAGACTGACCTATTCTTTCACTTCCTGGGAGTGTGGTTCTACCGTTACTTTCCTTGGGTTCATGGCTATTGCTTTGGGCGGCAGTTGTTTTTCCTGAATTTTGGAAGTTTCCTTATAGAATGGCTTGATTTAATTTTGCCAGAACTCTAAATGATCAGCTGGTTAATCTCTAGCCTTTACGCCAATTGCTCACTTTGCAATTCTTTTTTCTTTTTTGAAATGCAGTCTGGCTCTGTCACCCAGGCTGGAGTCAGTGGCGCGATCTCGGCTCACTGCCAGCTCCGCCTCCCGGGTTCCCGCCATTCTCCTGCCTCAGCCTCCCGAGTAGCTGGGACTACAGGCGCCGCCACCACGCCCGGCTAGTTTTTTGTATTTTTAGTAGAGACGGGGTTTCACCGTGTTAGCCAGGATGGTCTCGATCGCCTGACCTCGTGATCCGCCCACTTCGGCCTCCCAAAGTGCTGGGATTCCAGGCGTGAGCTACTGCGTCCAGCCTCACGTTGCAATTCTTGTGTTACATGAGCACTATAAATCTGGGCTCAAAATCCCCTGTAGGTTTAGAATGAAATTTATTGCGTATGATTTTTTCCCTAGCCCATAGGAAGATGAAAAACTTCCACTGGCATTTTATTTTGTTAGCTGATGGTATTTCTATATTCCATTTTATGGAAATGTGCAACCCTTTGAGGTTACTAGGTATAAAATGTCTGATTATGGGCAGATTATATGCAGTACTAGGAAAGGCAGGAGAAGGGAGAAAATTGGTTTTAAAACAGAACTGCAATGAAACAGTTCCTAAAACAGACCTGCAATTAAATAGTCTTTCTGCGCATTCCTTCTCTTCAGCCTCCCCTGGGTAAGGCTATGCCAATTACTCACATCTCCCGGACTCACATCCAGACTCAGTGGCTCAGGGCTTTCATAGCTGAAGGCTTGTGATAAAATAGTTCACAGGTTTAATTTTGCTACTGTGAAGAAAGTAAAATGACAAATAAATCATCAAAGGAAAGGCTAAGCATTCAGGAGCTTTATTTTGTAATTATGGTGTCTTAAAAACATTTTGCAGCTTTATGCTACTTCATATCAAAGACTGGAGGAGTTCTGCTTCTGTGGATTAAGGAAGTGTCTGAAACCTGGGCATTCAATTGTATCGCACCGTCCTAGTGGAACTAACCATTCTATCTTTAAGGTAATATATGCAAATGAAATTTTACATAGAACCTGAGAAAATTTAAAATGTTCTACATGGAAATGAAAAAAACAAAGGCATAGGAAGACCTAAACATAGGTTAACATGTGTATGGACCTCAGTTATAACTAAACCACTTGCAGCACTAAAATGATTATTCCATTAGGTTGAGGTCTATTTTTATTGGCTTAATGATGACTTCTGCATACCCCTTTGGACATTTTACAAATGCACTAGTAAATTGAGCTGTGTAGGAGGCCCTTTGATGATGCTTATAAAAGATTGCTTCTATGTTTGCATTCGAGCCTTTTAAGTAGTTCAATAACAAGACTCAAGGCAATTTTGAGGCACAGAGAACAGTTATTTCATTTGTACTTCTATACATTTTCTTTCTTTTTCTTTTGCCTCACTTCTGCTAGCATTACCAAAACTACTTTGCTATATTTTTGCATCCAAGGGAGCAGAATACAAGAAAAACAGTTTATTCACCATGCCTCTGCTGAAACATTTTCACGGAGAAAGCAGGGGACATGCAGTGTGGGATGGTGATCTTCACGGTCTCGACTTCTTAGCCTGGGCAGTCAGTCAGTGGAGGCAGGCGTGCATACCACAGCGACATTTCCATTCTGGAGCCTGAAGGAACCTGATGGAACTTCTGGAGCAGGAGGATGGAGACATCTAAGGTCTTCACAGTAGATTGTCTTTTTACACCTAGAAAGGAAATAATCACATTCTTTGAGTTACTGCTCCATTGTGTCATCACAACTGGAGACAGTGACACTTGATTGGAGGAGGTATAAATGAAGGGATGGGATTCATAAGCTGTATTTTTACATTTTAAATTTTTGATGCATTCATAATATTTTACCTATTTATAGGGTGCATGTGGTATTTTGTTACATGCATGGAATTTGTAATGGTGATGTCAGGGTATTTGAGGTGTCCATCACTTTGAGTATTTACCATTTCTATGTGTTGGGAACAGTTCAAGTCCTCTCTTGCAGCGATTTTGAAATATGCAATACATCGTTGTTCACCGTAGTCACTCTACTCTGCTGTTGAACAATATAGTTTAAAATGATTCCAAGTAATCTCCACGGACTTATTGAAAATGGGACTAAAGCAACTTAGTTGGTAGGAGAAAGGCAGCACGATGAGAACCAGAGTTAGTGGGTTAAGTAGGAAGCCACAAAATGGGCCATTTGGAAACACAGTCGTTCCCTTTGACAATCATCATGTACACTTGCTGAGCAAATTTTGTTTGGCTTTTAATGTAATGATCTAACACTCAAGTAATATTCCGGAGATGTAAACAGAAAGGAAGGTTATCTATTAATCAAAGTTTTGTTGTTTTTTTCCCAAGGTGGTTTGCTTTAGAGGCAAATGTTATTCAACCAAAGGGATGTTTTCAGAAGGTCTGGAAATTTTGTTCTTACTATTTGAACATAACTTGAATCATCTGGTAAGTTTCAGGAGGCTTAGAATTTTTGTTAGAAGGAATACAAATGTAATTAGGATTTCCCAAGGAAACCAGAGGTGTGCTGCCTATGTCATTGCCTGGTCATATTGCATTCACTCAGTTGCTGTACATCTTCTGTCTTGCTTATAGTGTTGTAAATTACTTGAGGGAAGAAACCATGTTGCAATGTTCTTTGCTATTTCTTCATGTGCTTCATAATGTATAGGACAGAGTAAGTTTTCAATAAACTTTTAAAAAATAAAATAACAAATGAGTGAATATAAAAGTGTTTCATATAAATTGAACAGCAGCCATCTTTCTACCATAGCATTAAAATAGGAATTATTTCCTAGTACTCTTGGGAATTTTAATCTCTTTTCACAATAGTCAACTGTGCAAAGGAGAGAATATTTAATAAGACTCTGTAGTTCTTCACACTGAAGAATCTTTTCTTTCACATAGAAAAGATTACCTAGATTTTAGGTACTGCTATTACATATAATACTGTTTGTTTCTTATTTAACATGCTATTTTAAGAAAAAGCGTTTGGAAAAAAAGTTGATCTGTAAAATGGGAGACAGTTTGATTGCAGCTGTGCCCGTCTTCGGTATTTCAATACCAGCACCTGGTGGGTCAGAAGGAGATGACACATCTAGCTGTAAGCTGAAGTTTGTACGGTGCACCGAGGAGGGATTCTGGAGGTGTATAATTTCAGAATGAGTTGAGTTTACCCTGAAGGAGAAAACTGAAGATTCCAAGAGGAAAGTAATGCTGTGGCTTTGCTAATTAAGCTGTATGTGCAGAGTTGCACTTGACGAAAGTGTGGGCAGCAAGGAAGTTTTTCCTCAAAATAAATATATAAAAGAGAGAAAGAGAGAGCAACTGGCTATTTCGGTTGTTGGTCCCTCCAAATTAAATTAATTGTTGCTAACAAATGTGGCACCTGCTTACTCACTACATAAAGCACTCTATAAAATAAAAATATATGCTTCCAACCTTTGAGAAGTAAAAAAGAAAGATTCTAGAAGGATCCTTAGAATAGGGCGACCTGAACACAGATGGCAATATTCTCTCTCTTGCTCCTCCCTGTGGGCCGATTCAACGCGGGAACCAGGGTAGCATCCAGGAGGGCTTGGATTGGGAGTGGGGATCTGAAGTCTCATTTGAATCCACTGAAAGGGAGAGCAGGTGCAGGGGATGGTATTGAAGTACTGGTGGGGATACAGAAAACTGACAAAGAGCAAGTGAACAGCAGAGAGCTGCCTGTGTCCGTGCCGGGGGCTGGGCTGGAAAAGGCCATGCGGCTGCTCCCCTCCCCCTCAACACAGGGCTTGGGTTTGCAGAGAGAGGCAGACCTGCCCAGGACGTTCCTCCAAGGCTTTCCTGGAGGGCAAACTGGAGTAGAGGGGGATGACTCATGAAGAGGTTTACTTCAAGAGGCAATCGTTGAACTGTACAGCCTGTTTCTTTTTTGTTTGTATGTTATATTTTATAATTAACATGTTTATAAAAGAAAAATGAAGAGTTATGGCAGATTAGGTTCCCTATATGACACAGGGCAATTTGTAATGTTACAAAGAGTTACCTTGTAAATGCCTTTAATATCTGTTAAGTAAACATTCTCATAATCAGCAAATCAACTCTTTATGGAAATGTATGTTTTAAAATTGGATGTAAATGTTTGAAATTTTATTCCAAAATAATTTATTTCCCAAATAATTTGAGTTTTATTTCCAAAATAATTTGAGTAATTTAAGTCTTGGTTCACTGCCACTCTTCCGTGCTCTCATAATACCCTATATGTCTAGTGTGGCACTTATTACATTGTCTAATAATTAATTGTTATAAATAAACTTTTAATTTTAGCATGCTTTAGTATTTACAGAAAAGTTGAAATATTAGAGAGGTTTTTATATTCTACATCCAATTTCCCCTATCACCAACATCTAACATTAGTCTGATACATTCATCACAAACAATGAACTGATACTGCTACATTATTAATAAATAAGTCTATGTGCTGTTTGGATTATCTTAGTTTTTACACAATGTTCTTTTCCTATCTTAAAATCCCATTTAGGATAACACATTACATTGAGTCACTTGGTTTTCTTGGGCACTATTAGACTGTAATAATTTCTTAGACTTTCCTTGTCTTTGAAGACCTTGACAGTTTTGAGGAGTATTAGACAAATATTTTGTAGACTGTTCCTCAATTTGAGTTTATCTGATTCCTTTACTCATGAGTACAATGAGGTTATGGGGTGTGGGGAGGGAGACCACAGGGGTGAGCTGTCGCTCTCTTCCCATCCTGTCAGGGGTACACAGGGTCATTGTGACTGGTTGCTGGTGATGCTGCCCTGAATTATCTGGCTGGGGTGGTGTTTGCAGGTTTCTCCATTGTGAGCTTACTACCCCCAGCATTTCCTTACTGTATGCCATGAAATGAATGCCCTATGCAAAGTCCACACAAAAAGGGTGGGGAGTCGTGCTCCACCTCCTTGATGGGAGAGTATCTATATAAATCATTTGAAATTCTACACAAGCCAATAAGCTATTTTCTCCCATTTACTTATTTCATCACTTACGTATATCGAGATGGACTTTTGAATGTTTATTTTATATGTTAGACTATAATCAAATACGTTATTTTGTTGCTCAAATTGTTTGGATTTGATTCCCATTGAAAGGTCATTCCAGATGGCTCCTGTGTTGTCTTCACAAAACATATCATTTTGTACTTGAGCACTTTCTTGCTTCCTGGAACTGCATGATACTGCAGGCTTATCTTGTATATTTTCTGCCCCAGCCCTAGAATCAGCCATTTCCAAGTCCTGGTTCCTTTTTTTTTTTTTTTTTTTTTTTTTTTTGTCAAAAGGAATCAGCAACTAAGCTCTAGGTGCTAGATGTGCTTGTTGCTGCTAGGATGTTGTTTCTCCTAAGCCATCTCAGCAGAAAGCACACATCTGGAGGTGGCACCAAGATGGCCAAATAGGAGCAGCTTCAGCCTCCAGCTCCCAGTGTGAGTGACACAGAAGATGGGTGATTTCTGCATTTCTAACTGAGGTACTGGGTTCATCTCACTGGGGCGTGTCGGACAGTGGGTGCAGGACAGTGGGTGCAGCCCAATGAGTGAGAGCCAAAGCAGGGCGAGGTATCGCCTCACCTGGGAAGTGCAAGGGGGAAGGGAATTCCCTTTCCTAGCCAAGGGAAACCGTGACGCACAACACCTGGAAAATTGGGTAACTCCCACCCTAATACTGCACTTTACTAAGGGTCTTAGCAAACGGCACACCAGGAGATTATATCCCATGCCTGGCGAGGGTCCTCCACCCATGGAGCCTCCCTCATTGTTAGCACAGCAGTCTGAGATCTAACTGCAAGGCAGCAGTGAGGCTGTGGGAGGGGCACCCACCATTGCCAAAGCTTAAGTAGGTAAACAAAGCTGCCGGGAAGCTCGAACTGTGTGGAGCCCACTGCAGCTCAAGGAGGCCTGCCTGCCTCTGTAGATTCCACTTCTGGGGACAGGGCATAGCCAAACAAAAGGCAGCAGAAATCTCTGCAGATGTAAATGTCCCTGTCTCACAGCTTTGAAGAGAGTAGTGGTTCCCCCAGCATGGAGTTTGAGATCTGACAACGGACAGACTGTCTGCTCAAGTGGATCCCTGACCCCTGAGTAGCCTAACTGGGAGACATACCCCACTAGGTGCAGACTGACACCTCACACATCACATGGCCGGGTACACCTCTGAGATGAAGCTTCCAGAGGAATGATCAGACAGCAACATTTGCTGTCCAGCTATATTCACTCTTCTGCAGGCTCCATTGCTGATACCCAGGCAGACAGGGTCTAGAGTTGACCTTGAGCAAACTCCAACAGACCTGCAGCTGAGAGTCCTGACTGTTAGAAGAAAAAATAACAAGCAGAAAGGACATCCACACCAAAACTCCATCTGTATGTCACCATCATCAAAGACCAAAGGTAGATAAAACCACAAAGATGGGGAAAAAGCAGTGCAGAAAAGCTGGAAATTCTAAAAATCAGAGGGCCTCTCCCCTTCCAAAGGAACGCAGCTCCTCGTGAGCAACAGAACAAAGCTGGACAGACAATCAAACTTCTCTGAGCTAAAGGAGGAATTACGAACCCAGCACAAAGAAGCTAAAATCCTTGAAAATAGATTTGACGAATGGCTAACTAGAATAACCAATGTAGAGAAGTCCTTAAATGACCTGATAGAGATGAAAACCATGACACGAGAACTACATGACAAATGCACAAGCTTTAGTAACTGACTCAATCAACTGGAAGAAAGGGTATCAGTGATTGAAGATCAAATGAATGAAATGAAGCTAGAAGACAAGTTTAGAGAAAAAAACGTAAAAAGAAATGAACAAAGCCTCCAAGAAATATGGGACTGTGTGAAAGGACCAAATCTACATCTGATTAGTGTACCTGAAAGTGACGGGAGAATGGAACTAAGTTGGAAAACACTCTGCAGGATATTATCCAGGAGAACATCCCCAATCTAGCAAGGCAGGCAAACATTCAAATTCAAGAACTACAGAGAACACCACAAAAATACTCCTCGAGAAGAGCAGCTCCAAGACACATAATTGTCAGATTTACCAAAGTTGAAATGAAGGAAAAAATGTTAAGGGCAACCAGAGAGAAAGGTTGGGTTACCCACAAAGGGAAGCCTATCAGACTAACAGCAGATCTCTCAGCAGAAACTCTACAAGCCAGAAGAGAGTGGGGGCCAATATTCAACATTCTTAAAGAAAAGAATTTTAAACCCAGAATTTCATATCCAGCCAAACTAAGTTTCATAAGTGAAGGAGGAATAAAATCCTTTTCAGACAAGCAAATGCTGAGAGATTTTGTCACCACCAGGCCTGCCTTACAAGAGCTCCTGAAGGAAGCACTAAACATGGAAAGGAACAACAGGTACCAGCCATTGCAAAAACATGTCAAAATGTAAAGACCATCAATGCTAGGAAGAAACTGCATCAACTAACGAGCAAAATAACCAGCTAACATCACGATGACAGGATCAAGTTCACACATAACAATATTAACCCTAAATGTAAATGGACTAAATGCTCCAATTAAAAGACACAGACTGGCAAATTGGATAAAGAGTCAAGACCCATCAGTTCACTGTATTCAGGAGACCCATCTCACGTGCAGAGACACACATAGGCTCAAAATAAAGGGATGGAGGAAGATCTACCAAGCAAATGGAAAACAAAAAAAGGCATGGGTTGCAATCCTAGTCTCTGATAAAACAGACTTTAAACCAACAAAGATCAAAAGAGACAAAGAAGGCCATTATATAATGGTGAAGGGCTCAATTCAACTAGAAGAGCTAACTATCCTAAATATATATGCACCCAGATTCATAAAGCAAGTCCTTAGAGACTTACAAAAGACTTAGATTCCCACAAAATAATAATGGGAGACTTTAACACCCTACTGTCAACATTAGACAGATTAATGAGACAGAAAGTTAACAAGGATATCCAGGAATTGAACTCAACTCTGCACCAAGCGGACCTAATAGACATCTACAGAACTCTCCACCCCAAATCAACAGAATATACATTCTTCTCAGCACCACATCACACTTATTTCAAAATTGACCACATAGTTGGAAGTAAAGCACTCCTCAGCAAATGTAAAAGAACAGAAATCACAACAAACTGTCTCTCAGACCACAGTGTAATCAAACTAGAACTCAGGATAAAGAAACTCAATCAAAACCACTCAACTACATGGAAACTGAACAACCTGCTCCTGAACGACTACTGAGTACATAAAATGAAAGCAGAAATAAAGATGTTCTTTGAAACCAATGAGAACAAAGATACAACATACCAGAATCTCTGGGACACATTTAAAGCAGTGTATACAGGGAAATTTATAGCACTATATGCCCACAAGAGAAAGCAGGAAAAATCTAAAATTGACACCCTAACATCACAATTAAAAGAACTAGAGAAGCAAGAGCAAACACATTCAAAAGCTAGCAGAAGGCAACAAATAACTAAGATCAGAGCAGAAGTCAAGGAGATAGAGATACAAAAAACCCTTTAAAAAAATCAATGAATCCAGGAGCTGGTTTTTTGAAAAGATCAACAAAATTGATAGACCACTAGCAAGACTAATAAAGAAGAAAAGAGAGAAGAATCAAATAGATGCAATAAAAAATGATAAAGGGGATATCACCACTGACCCCACAGAAACACAAACTACCATCAGAGAATACTATAAACACCTCTGTGCAAATAAACTAGAAAACCTAGAAGAAATGGATAAATTCCTGAACACCTACACTCTCCCAAGACTAAACCAGGAAGAAGTTGAATCCATGAATAAACCAATAACAGGCTCTGAAATTGAGGCAATAATTAATAGCCTACCAACCAAAAAAGTCCAGGACCAGATGGATTCACAGCTGAATTCTACCAGAGGTACAAGGAGGAGCTAGTACCATTCCTTCTGAAATTATTCCAATCAATAGAAAAAGAGGGAATCCTCCCTAACTCATTTTATGAGGCCAGCATCATCCTGATACCAAAGCCTGGCAGAGACACAACAAAAAAAGAGAATTTTAGACCAATATCCCTGATGAACATCGATGCAAAAATCCTCAATAAAATACTGGCAAACTGAATCTAGCAGCACATCAAAAAGCTTATCCACCATGATCAAGTGGGCTCCATCCCTGGCATGCAAGGCTGGTTCAACATATGCAAATCAATAAACATAATCCAGCATATTAACAGAACCAAAGACAAAAACCACATGATTATCTCAATAGATGCAGAAAAGGCCTTTGACAAAATTCAACAGCCCTTCATGCTAAAAACGCTCAATAAATTCGGTATTGATGGAACGTATCTCAAAATAATAAGAGCTATTTATGACAAACCCACAGCCAATAGCATACTGAATGGGCAAAAACTGGAAGGATCCCCCTTGAAAACTGGCACAAGGGATGCCGTCTCTCACCACTCCTATTCAACATAGTGTTGGAAATTCTGGCCAGGGCAATCAGGCAAGAGAAAGAAATAAAGGGTATTCAGTTAGGAAAAGAGGAAGCCAAATTGTCCCTATTTGCAGATGACATGATTGTATGTTTAGAAAACCCCATTGTCTCAGCCCCAAATCTCCTTAAGATGATAAGAAACTTCAGCAAAGTCTCAGGATACAAAATCAATGTGCAAAAATCACTAGCATTCTTATATACCAATAACAGACAAACAGAGAGCCATATCATGAGTGAACTCCCATTCACAATTTTATTCTTCAAAGAGAATAAAATACCTAGGAATCCAACTTACAAGGGATGTGAAGGACCTCTTCAAGGAGAACTATAAACCACTGCTCAATGAAATAAAAGAGGACACAAACAAATGGAAGAACACTCCATGTTCATGGATAGGAAGAATCAATCTCATGAAAATTGCCATACTGCCCAAGGTAGTTTATAGATTCAATGCCATCCCCATTAAGCTACAAATGAATTTCTTCACAGAATTGGAAAAAGCTACTTTAAAGTTCATATGGAACCGAAAAAGAGCCTGCATTGCCAAGACAGTCCTAAGCCAAATGAACAAAGCTGGAGGTATCATGCTACCTGACTTCAAACTATACTACAAGGCTACAGTAACCAAAACAGCATGGTACTGGTACCAAAACAGAGATATAGACCAATGGAACAGAACAGAGCCCTCAGAAATAATACCACACATCTACAGCCATCTGATCTTTGACAAACCTGAGAGAAACAAGAAATGGGGAAAGGATTCCCTATTTAATAAATGGTGCTGGGAAAACTGGCTAGCCTTCAGTAGAAAGCTGAAACTTGATCCCTT